AATGAAGTGGAGAATGATGTTAGTTACCTCAGAAAACAATTCTTGGCTATTGAATTCACCACTGGGCTCCTTTAAAGTCCTTTTAACTCTAGACTTTACTTGATCATAAATAGAACACTGTCCTACTGAATCTATAAAAATTCAATTTGTGTAACTGTGGTAGTTAAGTTGTGTATCAACTTGGCCGGGCCTGTTTTCGAGTGGTTGGGCAGCTGGATGTAGTTATTCCCCATGATGAGACTGAAAATCAACTCAATGGTGAAATCTACTGGAGCAGCTGAGTAGCTGCCTTAGGGATGTGGTCTGCTTCCAGTATAGAAGAAGCAGTATTGAGAAAGGTCTCTGGAGCATTTTGGCAAGCTTGGACCCTGCATGTAGCTGAGTCTTCCTTACTTCAGCAGCCTGCCATGTTTCCTGCCAATCTTGGGACTGTCTCTGGTCTTGAACTAGTGGCCTTCCATGTTGTTTTGTAATATTGAGACAGTGCCATTTTATTTGTTGACCTTGGGCTTTTTAGCCTCAGCAGCCAGCAGCTGCCTGAATAAAGAGATGCCTCTAGCTCCAGTGGTCCTGGAGCAAGAGGCAAAGCTGAAGCCCAAGGTTGAAGGGCTTTCATCCAGCCCCTAGAGCCAGCACTTTGAACCCAGAGTTCTAGCCTCCTTACCTGTAACAAAATATATCCCTGTTTGTTCAAACCACCCATTTGTCATATTTTCTGTCAGAATGGCACTAGAAAAACCAAAACAATAACCTTTCCAGAAATACTGTTATTAAACAAAGCAAAATATAGTTGAAGAATCAAAGAAAAGATAACTAAAAATACAGTTAAGATCCTGCTCTGAAATCCAATGAAAAAAAATACCTTTGACTTATTTTGGGCAATGAATTAGGAAAAAGTGAATCGTTATGAAAAGTAATTAAGGGGTCAATTTCCAATGGTATCTATCCCCTGGCCCCAGTTCATAAAGTCAGGGTAGTTGGAGAAAGTGCTGGGGATTTCTAGCTAGTGTTTTAACCTTTTAGGTGAAATGAATAGATAACTGAATATATCTACTTAGTTATCACATCCCTTCTGAGTTCATCTCTAAGACTCAGTGGGAAAAGTATGCAATTACTTTTTGTGTTTAGCTGTATTTTGGCTAGGCTATATAAATACTGATGAAATAAATATATAACTAGTTTTCTGTAATGTATCCAAGTTGATTTGATATTTGTAAATTACCCCCTTTCCCCTGAAAATGTCCAGCATTCATAACATATCATCTATAAAAAGTTTGAAATCTAAGATAAATGGCTGGAAGTTATAGAATATTATTTAGCATTTCCCTAGGACTTTCTAGTAGATTTATCCATAAACATTCAACTACAAGAAAATAAATCTAGATGACCATTTGTCTTTTGGGACAGGGAGTGGAGCCTGATTTGCCTAATTAGAATAATAGATTCCCTTTTTCTATTTATTGTGTAATAAAGGCATAAAAAAATAAAAACAATCAACTTGTAGCACAAGAATTATAGGGAAGTTTAGAGGTTCAAGTCTCATTCTAACCTCCCATAAAATTCATTTAATAAGTTCATCTTAAATCCCCCTATCCTGTTTTCTACAAAGTTAAAAGAAGAATCGTATGGCTTTTATTCTTGTAATGTAGGGCCCTACAGTCATATGCCTCTGCTGTAATATGACCCTTCTGTAAAATAGTAACAATATATGGCATTATACAGAAATAAACCACAGGTACTAGCAATTCCATGTGTACATAGGTACTCTCAGGTTCTAAAAGATACCAAGATCCTGCTGAGAAGAATATGAACTTATACATTGTGCAATAAGCAGGAATGAGATGATGATGTGAGATTTCGAAAAGAGAAAACAGGTTAAAGATAAGTGTGTGTGTCGGGGGAGGCAAGTTTGAGTCCATTAAATTTTTAGGTAGGTTGATGCCATGGAGCTTTGTCTTCTTTGTTGGTTAGAAAGCTCATGTCTCCAAACATGAATGGGAGAATGGCACCCCTTAGGCTGGGCTCTCCAAAAGCAAAAATCAAACTCACTGCTGTCGAGTTGAATCTGACTCGTAGTGACCCCTCCTTGGGTTTCTGAGGTGCTATCTCTATGGAAGTAGATGAGCAGTCTTCCAGGAAGCTATATAGTTGGATTTGACCATACTTCCAATCCTTTTTATAGATAGGCCAAATATTCTAGTGCAATATTATCTAGAAGGAACATGAGACCTGGAGAGGTAAGAAGACCACTTTCCTAAATATTTTCTTGGCTATTTAGTGGTAGATTTGCAATTTAAACTTGTATTTCTATACTTCCATATTATCGCTATTCACATAAACTCCTAGCATCGAGGAGATGTGTGTGCAAGTCACACACTTCTTATCCCAAAGAATTCAAGATGATTTAGACTTCCAAAAAGATGCTCGGTTAACAGTTATTTTATTACTAAAATATATAATCAGAGAAATCAAAGCATCTGACTAGAAAAACTTTTAAGCGTGCGTTTCTCATGATAAAATGTAAATTCTCCCAAAACAAATAAACTAAGGTCAGGTATGTTTGGAAAAAATTAGTGTGTTTGTCACTCTCAATTAACTGGGAAATTGAGATTGTGAGAAACACATAAGTACATTGTATCTATCAGACCAAGTGGGTAATTTAAAACTCTCACTCATTTCCCAGGAATACGATGCTGCAGTATTTTCTGGCTCAGGGCCCGCTGATCCTAGAGTGGCCTGAATATCCTGCTTTCTATCAAGATGAGGCAGCTCAAGGATGCCAGAACTTTCTTTGTGGTTGTACCCAATTCTAGAATCAAAATCCTTTTCTCTATGGAAAGAACTGCCAGAGAGTGTTTGGGGAAGATGTTTAAAGGAATTTCTAATACCACAAATGTTTGTTGAGAGCAGAATTGGTTAAATAATTATATTTTCCTTACCTTACCTTTTGCAGCTTCTTGATCTACCAAAGCATGATTAATAAATAATAATAAACTGACTAATAAATCAGTTCTAGTTGTTTTCTTTGTGCTTTGTCTTCTGAGATATGTTATAAATAAATCAGGAGCCTAGTGTACTTAATAGATGAATCTTCAAGCTGTTTAACAATATAACTAGAAAAATTCTCCGAGGGTGATTGTGAACAGGAAAGGTTATTTTACTTTATTTTCTTTTTAACTTCTTATTGTGATTTTGGTGAAGTTTTACAAAGCAGATTCGTTTTCCATTCAACAGTTCATACACATTTTGTTTTGTGACTCTGATTAAAATCCCTGCAATGTACCAGCTCTCTTCCCACTTCCTCCCTGTGCTCACGCTTTCCCAGTGTCTTCTTGCCTATGCATTTCTGCCTCCTTACCTTTCTCCCTGGGTAATTGTTGCCCTTCTGATTCTCCACAGTTGGTTGTTCTAAGAAGTGCATCACCTTGGCATAATTGTTCAGCTCGTAGCCCTCCCTGTCTAGTGTTTGGCCGAGGTTATTTTTAATATGTCTGAGAGCAAGCATATTAATATTAGAGTACAAAAAGTTGAAAATATTTGAATCTCAAATATTTGACTGCAGGTGGAAATGTAGGGGAAAAAGAGATATCAATGAATCACATTGTTAATAGTAGGAAATCTGCTTTCAAGTTTGCAGAATATTTTGATAGATCACAAACATCTACTGAAAAGGGGCAATTCTCTTTAGAAGAGAGGATGGAGAATCTTCATCTCACATATTTTAGACATGTTAATTACCTCTGGTGGCATAGTGCCTAAGGCATTTGACTGCTAACCAGAAGGCTGACAGTTCAAACCCACCAGCCATTCCTCAGAAGGAAGACTAGGCAATCTATTTCCGTAGAGATATTGCCTTGGAAACCCAAGGAGGGGTCGCTATGAGTCAGAATCTACTTGATGGCAGTGAGTTTGGTTTGGTTTGATTCTTATTCTGGAACAGAGAACTACCAGAGTGAGAAGGATCTGCTTTGTAGGACAGTGAAAAAAAAAAAAAGTTGAAAGCATCTTCATACTCCTTCATGTGTAAAAATACAGTGCCAGATGTATGCAAATTTTTAAACTGGGTAGACTACAGGTTTCATCTCAACTATTGTACTTATGATAAAAAGGGCAATCCTAATTTACCTCATTCATATACAATGGCAACGTTTCTTAGAATCATAATGGGGAGAAAACGCATTCATTACAGAATACCACATAGGAGATTTGAAAAGGATCTTGCCATCGCTACTTTTAGGCAAAATTTGCTCTTGATACTATCACCTCTTCTTTGGTTGCTACCCAGCTACTATATATAGGATTCTATGCTCTGTCAAAAAAAAAAAAAAAAAATCATGGCCAGTCAGTCTATTCAGACTCATAGTGACCCTGTAGGATAGATTAGAACTGCCAGCGTAGGATTTCTAAGGCTGTAAATCTTTACGGAAGCAGATAGTCACATCTTTCTCCTGAGGAGTGGCTGGTGGGTTCAAACCACTGACCTTTTGGTAAGCAGCAGAACACTTTAACCAGAGCACCACCAGGGCTCCTGGTTGACTGGTGAATGCTTTGTGGTTTACTTAATCCCTTGCCTCCAGTCAACACTTATCTGTTCAAAAAACAAAAAAAAACAAAAAAAAAAAAAAAAAAACACCTCACTTCTGTCAAGTCAGATCTGACTCATAGAGACCCCTCCTTGGGTTTCCGAGGTGGTATCACTACAGAAGTAGATTGTCCAAACTTCCTTCCGAGGAGTGGCTGGTGGGTTTGAACCGACAGCCTTCTGGTTAGCAGTCAAATGCCTTACGCACTATGCCACCAGAGCAGGAACTCACTTTTTCTACACCCTGCTCTCTTGTCAGAAGTTAGTGTTCAAATACAATGAATGAATCTATATAAATATGTTATAACATATAAACATGTTACCACTTCCAGGCAAGCAGGACACACAACTCAAAGGTATGAGTTTAAAGCTGAAAATTAAAGGAGAATATTTGGGGGCTCATGAGAACGATACTCACGCTGTATCTCCACCCAACAGATTTTTGATACTTATTCACTCTCACTCGCCTTCCTATTTCAGGTAAAGGAGTCTGCAAAACCAATGACAAAACGTTATTAGCAATGCCATTCAAATCTCAGAAAAAGAGACATGAAACACTCAATTGAAGAAGGATAATATTATTCATCTCAATTTTCAAGAGTACTTTTAATAAAAAAAATCATATTATTATATAGAAAAACTTGGTAACAAATTCATAGTAACAAATCCAACTATAATATTAATAGGAAAATTACAATTTGATGCTAGTAAAGTTATACTTTCCATTGCAATACCATATATAGGTTGAACATGACTTTTAATTATTTCAAAAGTTTTGAGTATCTAAAATGTGGATTAAATGTGGGTCAAGGTATCTCAAGTTGAAACAAAGAGACAAGTAAACCCATTTTAGAGAGTCCCACTCAAAAAATATAAAGTTAGTTATTTAGAAGAAATAGTTTGTAGGGTAAAACTAATCCACAGAAAGTAAAAGATCCCTTGAAATTCACATTGGTTTGTAGCATTTGACATTTACTGACAAAACAAAAAGCATGAAACTGTTTAAATAGTTTCAATGATTCACTTTCTGCCCAAATTGGAAAAAAAAAAAAAGAGTTTGTGGTATGGAAAACAGTTTAGTGAATCTGTATCTTTTCAAACATAATATCTGAGGATTTTCCTTTAGGGTATAAGGAAATGAATTTTTTTTGACCTTTGCTATGTTCGTGCTAATATTATCTTGAGAAAGGGAGGTATTCATGCTAAAGAAAGAGAACAGAAATCAGTGCTTAGCAAATTCTACAACAATATGTTAGGAACCATGACACAACTTTATGAATGTTAGCAGGAACAGTGCCAATTAAACTGTCTCTCTTGCTCATCTGTCAGAAAATACATGAAAAATTAGCATCTCTGACAATTCTTCCCTTCTACCTGTCATTGAGAATATAATGGCCTCAATTCTCAGAAGAAATGGTTGGTGAGAGAAAATAGTATTATGGAACACAGCAGGATTAACACAATATTAGAGGAAATCTCATATTTGCTCTCCTTGGAAACAAATAATCAACTAGAAGTAGATAGAAATACAGATCTTTTACTTATCGTTATAGAATATCAAAATATGTGAAATTTTC